GGAACAGACTTTACTAGAGGAAGAGGGGTGGGCTCAAGTGGAGGACATCCGGGGAGCCTACCAAGCTCCAGGGGCCTTAACACAGGCGCTCCTTCATTCCTTCCCAGTCCCTGGGGGAGCCACATCAGTGTCCTTCTGTATACAGGAAGAAGTGGTGGCTCAGGCAACTCAGAGAGGCCAGGCGACTTGCCCGCGGTCACACAGAGAGGGGCAGAGCTGGGATTCAAACGCTTTTCCACAGTCCCAGGCTACGTCTCTGGGAAATCAGAACAGAGAACTCCCATCAGTGGGAGCTTCAGGAATAACAAAGTGTTGGTGGAAGTTCCAGGGGCAACAATGTCCTTTGACAGCTTTCTGGGTCACTCTTCGGGCTTTGGGGCACTCAGGGGCCAGCACCCACCTGCTGAAGGGCCTCCCTGGGTGTGATGGGAAAAGGCAGGGACACCAGCTAACCCACCCACCATCCCTTTTTGGAGACCTCCATTCTGGCTGACAGCCCAGCCCCTTCCGGCTCACAGTCAGAAATAGCTGTGACAAAAGTCCCTCTCATCCCAGAAAGGGTTTTTTTTTTAATGCTTAGAACTGGCAAATGTGAAGATGGAGAAACTCGGCTAAGCCTGGTCAGGAGGCAGATGATGTGGGAATGGTGGAGCAGTGAGGGGAGATCCGAATGACAGTGGAAGGTCTGCATGGGTGGGCTGTTTGCAGCAGCCCCTCTGGGTCCCAGTTTCCCCAGCTCTAAAATGAAAGTACACAGCTGAATCAGCAACTTGGTTTCTTTTTTTATTTGTTTGTTTTGAGTTTTGGGGGGTTTTTTTAGCAGCAAATTCCTGTTTTTGAATTGAATCTTTCTCAGACTATGATTTGGAAATCAGGTTGAAATGTAGAAGCTATGGTTGATATGGGTCAAATCCCAGGTCCTCACCTTTCCACTATCCCCAGAATCGCCCCAAGGCACCTTGCTATGGGCTCCAGGACCCTGAGGTCCCTCTAGGCTCTCAAAAGACACTGTGATCATCCTGGATACCAAGAAAAAACCTAGCCAAACCTAGCCAGGAGCGCATAAGCTCTGCTTGGCACCCTGCAGAAAGGAAGCAAAGCTAACCAGCCCCAAATCACACTGGGCCTGAGAAGCCCAGGAGGGCTACAGGAGTTGTGGACCAGGGGCACCAGACCCTCCAAAAGTCACCCTGTCCATAGGCAGCGAGGTCAGCTCTACCAGCACCCAGCAATTTTCTCCACCAGCCTATGGCAACTTCCCCCACTGCCAGGCTAGATGGAACTCAAAGCTGTCCTGCTTCCTCTTTCAGCCAAGGAAGAGAGAGGAAACCAGCGAAACAGCTCGACCTAGCAAGGAGTATGGACCCTCAACATCCAAAGCAAGGACAGGAGAGGACCAGGACACCCAGAACAGAGAAGGACCACAGTAAACACAATGTCACCTCAAAAGGCAAAAAGCTCATCTGTGACATAGGCCCCTTTGATTCACAGACCTGAAAATACAGAGCAAGCAAAAGGAATCACCCAATGGAGCCACCTAATGTAAAGGTGGAGGATCAGAGACCCAGAGAGGGCAGTGGTTGGCTGGAAGTCACACAGCATATAGTGACAGAACTGGACCTACAGTCCCGATTCAGCAGGAATCTCCCAGGGAAAAGCCCCCAGCTTGCAAACTCCAAACAGGCTACTTAGGTGCAATGGGCGGGGACAAAGTGAAGTGTTTGTTTGGTTTCCAAACCAACGCTTGTCCTCTGTAGAGTTTCAGTGACCACATTTCCCACATGGTAAAGAGCTGGTTGGGCAGAGGGGAAACCAAAGAAGTAACGAGCAGGGCCAGCACTAGAACACCCCCGCCAGGAGCTCTAGTTGGGGTTCATGTTTCCAAAACATGGTTCTCAGACCACTGATGGCACAGGAGATGATGTTCAGTGGTACGCCTATGACTCTTAAAATCTTAAATACCATGACTATGCAGGTGAGTGGATAAACAAAGTAGAGTCTGTGAATCTTGTGGAATGTCATTCACCAATAAATAGAATCATCCTACGGAGACATGCTACAACAGGGATGAGCCCCCAAAACATTGTCTAAGCAAAGGAAGCCAGGCACAAATGACTACATATTACAATGATTCCATTCACACACAATGTCTGGAGAAGGCAAAATTGATAGACACGGAACAAAACACTGATTGCCTGGGGATGGGAAATGTTTGGTTTTTATTTTTTTGCTGTGCTGGAGATTGAACCCAGAACCTCATGCATGCTAGGCAAGTGCTCTGCCACTGAGCTGCATTCCCAACCCAAACTCAGATTTATGTACTGTTAAGTCTGGGAAGACTCTCTAAGATCATGTAGCATAGGTTTGGTTTTGTTTTTTTAAAAACTTTTTTAAAAAGTTGATTATATGCCCACCCTCCTCTGAAAAGAAAATTCTTATGAGAAAGCCCAATATGCCCACATGTCAAAACAGAATGTTACATGTATAAATGTGCATTATAAAGCTCAAGTACATAACAGTCGCCTCTTCTAAATTTGATCAAAGCAATTGATTAGGCCATTTTGATCCATTAACATTGAGGATGGGGATAACAGTTCCAAATCCAGTTTAATTCTATCTCCAGTTTCAGCTGCAGAGCATATAAAAGATCCTGCAGCACAAAGATGATGGTGCTAGCCTGCTTGGGCGGAGGGTGAGGAAGGAGACAAAGGCCCAGCTCCAGGACGGACTGTAGGGGACAGGAGGCATGGTCTCGCTCAGTTCAGAGCCGTAGAGCAGAAATTGAATAAAGCAGCTTGCTTGGTAATCTGGGAATAGTCTTCAAACAGAGACGGGGAGAGAGATACTTTAACTCGAGGCCAATCATTATTAACAAGTTAACATGTTAGTGGAATCCGATGAGTCAATGTTAAAAGTGAATGAGAACATTATTACGGCTGTATTAGTATCTCGACGTATTTTTAAAGAATAGCTTTTATGAAGTATTAATTTCCCCTAAAGCATCATGAGGAAGTATATGACTTTAGAAGCTCAGTTCTGGCCCAATCACCTTGTTTTACAGGTAGGGAAACCAAGGCCCAGGGAAGGGAATATACTGGTTTTGGAAAAATACAACATGAGCCTTCATTCAACTTCAGAAAGGATGGGTCTTTCTAATTCACAAAACAATGTAGGAAGGGAAGGTGTGTCCCAGAAAGGCGGGAACAGAGACACTCGCACTCCACCTGCCTCAGCAGCACGGGCTCATTCCAGGCCAGCGCCAGAAGCTGACATCACACCCCACACCCTGGGTGCAACCTGAACAGATCATTGCTCAATGCCAACCCATCTCCCTCTAAGCCTGGGCACAGTCTTTCCATCGCCCTTGTATCCAGGTGCAAAAGGCATACACACAATTAAACAAACATAACACAGCCTGTGGCATGACTGTGGTCAACAGTACAGTACTGATCCATCCCTCCTCAAGTTTCACCATTAAAAGCAAGTGCCTCTTTCTCTGGCCCACCAGGATGAGGCTGACCACCAAGGGAAGAGCGGTGGCACAGGTACATAAAAGGCACTGATCCATTCTTAAATCTTCTAGAGAGAAAGATACCCTAGGAGAGAAGAGAATATACCAGAAAGACAGACCCTGTATGGGAGTCGGGTGACTCCAGACACTTCTGCTCCCTACCACCCTGACAGCGTTAATAGCATCCACTTGACTACTTTACACCTTGCAAAAAGCGTCAGCACCCTACCCCAGGCCCTCCCCTGCCCCTGGAGCACTGTGGCTGGAGTTTACTATTTCCTTTTCTCTGATGAGCAAACAGGCTTACTGGTGGTTTGCCAATCTTCCAGGCAGGTGATGGTGGTGGCATTTGAATTCTTCCCAAACTAGCCTTCTCAGTGAGGGGATAAGGAAGAGACCCAGGCCCAGCCCCCAGAGCAAACTGCAGAGGATGGGAGGAATGGTCTTCCTCAGTTCAGAACTGTAACTCCAAAGACAGATGCCCTATGCATGAGACGGGAGGGCCCTCCCCCACACAATCCTGAGCCCTACAGACAGACCCCTCTCCTCTTATCGGAAAGCTGAGCAGACAGTATTGTCAGTCAGGGTGCAGGCAGGAAGCAAGGTCAGTCTCCCAGCCAAGGAATCTGAGCTGGACAGGAGCTCACTAACCAGTCCTGCACACAGTCTGCTCCCCAGCTCCAGCAGGAGCAGGTAATCTAGTTCCATCTAATGTCCAGTCTTCCAGCCCAAGGTTATCTCTTCCTGGAGGCCTTTAAGGCTGAGTTCATGGGAGCTTGATATGCCATAAGACTTGGGGAGTGTGGAGGAGAGGAGGCATTTTACAAGCTTGTCTGATGGAGTTCTGGTTCTGCAGCCTAGGAGCTTACAGGGCTGGATCAAAACAGTGAGCCCTGGTCCCCAGGAACAGAGACAGATCTATCCATTTTCACACACATGTTCTCATTTAGTTCAAGGAATAAAAGGGCAGTGGACTGGTTAAGAGTTTTTCTTTTCACCCAGTGAGGGAGAGGAGCCTATTTCCTACATCTTTGGGGAAATACCGAGGCTGGGAGGCAGACTAGCCAGAAGTAAAGTCACTGGTCCAAATCCTGACTTCACCACGTATTAGCCAAGTCGCCTGGGGCAAGTCACTTCACATCTCTGCCCCACAGTTTCCTCATCTGTAAAACTGGGATGAGACTGCCTCACACTGCATTGTCATGAGGACGAAATGAGATCACATACAACACCGCTACTTATTACGTCCCTAGGAAACAATGTGCCTGCCCAGTGACGGCTCCGAAGTCAGAGCCCGCCCCCATTCTTGGATCGAGATAACTGAGTCTTCCCAGCGCGTGCGGGGCGCTCGGCAAACCCAGCTTCCACCCCACCTGCCAGGGCCAGCTGCCCATCCCGCCCCTCGGCACACATTCCGTGGCTGCCGGACCTGGACACCCCCTCCCCCGGAGCGTCGAAGAGGGGAGGGGGGAGGGGCGGGTCCACTCACCTCCGCTTGTACTCGTCGCGCTCCCGCTTCACCTTGGCCAGCACGTTATAGAGCGCGCGGATCTCCGGCGTGATGGTGTCGATCTGCACGCCCACGCCGTCGGGGTGCACCCACGACACGCCGGGGCCCTGCACGGTCTCCACGCCGCCGCCACCCGTGCGCCGCACCTGCGTGTAGCTCCAGATGGTCCCGGGCAGGCGGCCGTAGTGCTGCGGGTGCGAGCCGCCGCCGGGGGGCAGGCCGCCCAGGGCCATCGCGTTGGCGTTGACGCCGACAGCAACGCTGCTGCCGTGGCCGCCGCCGGCTGCGGGCGGCCGCAGTAGCTCGGGCCCAGTCTGCACGGCCTGCTCCCGGGAGAAGGTTTTGTAGCGGAGCCGCCGCTCGCGCTCGCTCTGCTGCTGCTCCAGCTGCTTCTCCAGCAGCCGGTTGCGCCGCTCCAGCTCGTGCACCTTGGCCAGAAAGCAGCGGAAGCGCACGTTGAGTCCTTTCAGGAGATGGATGTTGGATCCCAGGTCATCCCGCAGCGCCGCCGTCACTGGCGACGGCCCTGGACCGGCCCCGCCGCCGCCACCGCCTCCACCGGGGCAGCCCCCGCCGCCGCCGCCGCCGCCGCCGCCGGGCGGGCAGCCGAAGGCCAAGGCCATCTCTCCGAACAGCAGCGAGTTCACCATGCGCCGGCTGCGCGGCTCAGGGCCTCGGGCCCGCGGCTCCAGATGCGGCTCCAGCTCCGGGCAGGGCTCCCGGCGTGGCCGGGCCAGGGCAGGCGCGGGCTCCAGCGCGGTGGGCCGGGCGGTTCCAGATGCGCGCCAGATGCGGCCTCCGCAGCGACAACGGGCCGGACTGCCCCCAGTTGTGGCCGCCGAGACGAAGGATGGGACGCGGCTGCCCCTCTGGACGCGGTGGAGGCCGCGGTGACTGCGCGAGGCTGGCGAGGGGCTCAGATCCCACCGCCGAGGCTGTCAGAGACGCTGTGAAGGGGCCGCGGCAGCCGCACTCAGAGGACTCTTGGCCGGCACTGCCCCCTCTGCGGCGGGCCCCGCCCTCTGCAGACACGGGCCCCGCCCCCGACTTGGCCCCGCCCGTCCCTCCTCCCTCTGCGGCGGTCCCCGGCACAGAGACTCCGCCCACCCAGGCCTGCAGATCCGAGCCACGCCCACACGCCCGAGGCCCCGCCCACTCCCGGGCACCGCGGCTTTCTACGCTGCGGAGACCCGCTGCTGCAGCTCTGGCTCCGCCCAGCTCCTCGACTGGAGCACGCCCTCCCCTGCATCCGGTGCGGCCGCCCGCCGGGCTCTGATTCTCTGCCCCGGAACGCGGACCGCAGAGCAGCACCAGGGACGGGTTATCTGGAACCGCCGCAGAACCAGCCCAGCCTCTTAAAGGGGCCATCAGCCTCGGCAATGCTTCCTTCTAGGGAGCCTCTCCCCCACCTGGTCTGTAGGGCAAGCTCTGCTTCTCTGACCTCCTATCCCCAAAGGCCCATTGACCACAGCATCCAAAGGTGCATTGTCTGCCACCCCCACTTCAGCCTGGGACGGCCTAGATCTTGCTTCTCCGAATGAGGAAATGCTTCTGCCCGCACGTCCCCCACGCCGCGGATCCCTACTCCTAGCTGCTTGCCACCGCCCTCCCCTCCCTCCTGCCTGTAGCCACGGGCCTCCTGGTCCCCAGACCTCCTGGGCGCCGTGGGGCCTGATGGTCCCCGGCTCACCGGTGAGGGTAGAGGAAGATCAAGAAAGACCCTCCTGGACTTCTGGGCCTTGCCTCCTCTGAGCTGCTGGGGCTCCTTGCCCTGACTGACCACCTCCTCACCACCGCACACTCACGCTGAGATGCAGCTGAGACCAGAGCTGGGGTCCATTTCATCGGGCTGCCTTAGGGGCAGCCTGATGGGGGGTGGGGGGCAGGGGGAGAAAATCCTCCTGGAGGAGGAATTCATTCATTCGTTTATTCATTCATTCAAATGTTTTCACACCTTCGACCCTAAAAGTCAAGTTCTCCTGCAGTTCCTTGGTGTCTCCTGAGTCAATTTGTAAACATTAGTACATGCCACCAGATGTCATACTTTTTATTCCCATTTTACAGAGAAGGCCACTGAGACCTGAGTAGAGGCAACCATCTCAAGGGCGCAGACTCATAGTTCATTTCTGCATTCCATGTTCACCACAAACCTCAGGGAGGACACCCCCACCTTTGAATGCCTGTGGCTTGCATTTAACCAGATATGTGGCATGTTCCGGATCCTTCCGGGCCACATTTTTTTGCATTGCTATTTAGTTTTTGTCTTGTTATTATCTTGTGTGTTTATCTTGTCTCTTCGTGTGTAAGCTTGAGGGCAGGTACTTTGTCTTACCAGGACAATGTCTTGGTATTCTTGGTGACAAAAGAGACACAAGGGAGAGTTGGGCTTGCTCGGGGTGATGTTGTAGCTGTGATGTTAGTCTGTTGTGTTTTCGATTTGGTCACAAAAGCAAACCCCATGTTTTCTTCCCTGGACCCCAGCTCCTTGCTCCCTGCCAAAATGGACTCACCTTTGAGCGCTGAAACTCACCTGTCTGGGAACATTTCTCTGTTTAATCCAACCCAATCTGGTCACTGCTCTTAACTGTTCTCTCATCTCTTCATGATTTTTTTATTTATCTAACCTAAAGAATCAAAAACCCTCTGCCTTAAAGCAGAGGCTCTCCGATCCCCAAGGGAAAGGAGGATAGAATTCCGAAGAGAGGTTTTACCTTCGTGTCCATCAGTTCCTGAAAGCTCTTTGGCATTTCCTTTGATGGTGAATGCAGACAGTGACTAGAAAGAAGTCCTGGGAGTCTACCACTGGTAGAAGTCACAGATATTTCCATATCACATCACAATGACTGTAGCTATCTTTTAAGCTAGTGCAATTCTGAAAGTCACATTAGACCCACAGCTAATTTTTTTCAGCCCTAAACCTCATTATTTAATGTATCAATCTAAAAAGCACAGCCAGGTGCTGGTGGCTCATGTCTGTAATCCTAGCTACTCTGGAGGCAGAGATCAGGAGGATTGAGGTTCAAAGCCAGCCTGGGCAAATAGTGAGACCCTATCTCGAAAATACCCATTACAATAAAGGGCTGGTGGAGTGGCTCAAGGTGAAGGTCCTGAGTTCAAGCCCCACTACTGGAAAAAAAAAAAAAAAGCCATGTTACTAAATGACGAATTTGCTTTCTTAGTACTTTGACATCTGTATTTCAGTTAAATTGTTTTCATTGCATGCATTTGAGTTGCACCCAAATGCATTTTTTAAAAAATGATTCTGAAAAGGGTCTACAGTTTTCACCAGATAATCTGGGGGCTCCTGAAACAAAAAGGGTTAAGAAGCCACACCTGGGGAGTGGCTCCCTGAAGCCTCTTCCAGGAAGGATCCTCCTGCCAAGTCACCCTAGAGTTGGGTGCAAAGCCCTCCTGGGGAGGGGCAGCGCTGTCCTGGACACTGAGAGACTCAGACATTCCATGCTCATTTATTGGACACATGTCTGAACTCCAGTCCTGCTCCATCCTGAAGGCTGATGAAGGTGCTAGAGGGGAGCTGCTGGAGACCCCAGGACCCCAGGACCATCCTGAGGCAGGGGCAGGGTGCAGAGGAGGGAGATGGCTAAGCAGGAGCTGGAGGATCTGAAGGAGGCACAGAAGTGGCACTTGAACTTGAAGGGTTTCAGAGACACGATGTGTACAAACAAGAATGGAAAGCAGCTCCGAGGTCACAGAGGAGCAAAACCAAGATGCTGTGTCTTGCTCTTTTGTGCGACAGATGAGAGGGGAGGTACACCTAACAAGCAGCCTTCCAGCTAGGGGACCAACCATCTCAATTGGCCTGGGACTGAGCGATTTCCCTGATGGGGGAACTTTCAGTGCCAAAACTCAGAGATCCCGCGCATACCAGGATGAGTGGCCCCCTTCCTAGAGACCTCTGAGACCCTCGATGGTGGCAAGGCACAATAAATGCTAAGTGGTATCATCATAATTTTCACTTCTTTTGCTTAAGCAAGTGGGGAAAAAAATCCATAACTGCATAAAGAAGCTGGAGAAAAAAGTACATTCAACAATCCAGAACTCTGGTGTCCAGCTCCAGTCCTGCTGCAGGGGAGAAGTGACTCCTTCTACCCTGTGTCCCCCCCCCTCCCCACAGGCTGCCGTTTCCAGAACATTCCCATCAGACTTCTTCACCATGAAATGAAAGGGAGCAATAAACCACCGCGGGAGGGAGTGGTTGCAAGTCCTCACAGAGCCACCGATGAAAATTAATCCTGTAAGCAGAACAGGGGAATTCTTGAGATTCCTCCTCCCCGCCCCCCACCCAAGAAACAATAATGACAGCAACCAAACCAAATCAAACTAAATAAAACCAAAAACCTTGACAAAAAGGGCAACTCTTGTTCACTTCAGCATCAGGGGCACCTCCAGGCTTACACGCGGCTTACGCTGCCTGTTGGCTCGACAATTATCCTGGGTGGGTTCACCTTCCTTGAAAAGGGTGTGGATTTCACCCAAGCCAGGGCGCCACACTGTCCCACTGGCTTCCCCGACTCTGCCAATCTTGGCCAGCAGGCTTGAGGAAGACCTGGTTACTTCTGGCAACTTCTCTAAACCTCCCCATGGAGGCTTCAGGAAGGCCAGCCTGGAAGGCACCCTATGTTCTATGGTAGTGTGGTTAGGAACAGGACGTCCAAAGCCAGGCTCCATCAATTATTAGACAGGTGACCTTGGTGAGTTACTCAAGCTCTCTGTGCCTTAGTTTCTCCTTCCTTAAAATGCCATGAGGGCTGAACAAGTCCACATGTGAAAACTCTGCAATAATGAGCCAGCGGTCCTTAAGCCCTGGTATATACCAGGCCCCGTCCTAGGCTGTGGGGAGCTCCATTTGAGTCCTTGGGCTTGCAGAGCCTCAGGAAGGCCATGTTGGATCACCTGGGGGAACTGCAGATGTGGAGGGCCAGGCCTTGCTCTCAGTTCGCTCTCTTTTTACCCTGACCCTCTCACTAAAACTCCAGATAGTAAAGGCCCCTCTTCCAGATGGCAAAATAAAGCCTCACAGGGAGAAAGGGGTTATCCAAGAACACACGACTCATGACACAACTGAGTTTGAATCCAGACTTGCCCCCTCCCAGCCAGTCCCTCTTGTAGCCCTTTCTACAACATTAAAGGGGATCAAATGAGTGACCGACCTGTTGAAGGGACTTCTGCCAACTTGCAAAAACACCAAGGAAGGGAAAGAGACATAGGGAACGGAAGGATAGGGATATTATCAAACAAGCCCTGAGCCAAGACAAGCAGAAACACCATGCACTCCTGCCTCTGGATCTTTGCACATGCAGGCTGCGTCTCCAGAATGCTGTCCCCGTCCTCGCTAGCTCTTGTTTATCCTTCAGAGCTTGGTTTTGGAAGCACTTCTTAGTTGCTTTGTTTTGATTTTGTATAGAGTCATAACTTATGTTCGGTAAATGCACAACTAGTAAGTGTCCAGCTCAATGAATTTCTACATATTCACCAAATCACTTCCTGCATACCAAAAGGCTCCTTCGTGCTCCCTCTCAGCTGCTAGCTTCCAGACTGTTCTATAACTCCTTGTACGTGAATTTGTGTGCAGTATGTTCTTGTCTTCTCTTGCTCAGAACCTGCGTGTATGAGGCTCACGCACATCGTGGTAGGCAGTGGTGTTTTTTCTTTTCATTTGCTGCATGGTATCTCATGGTATGAACACATCAGGTTGGATTCTTTCTCTTTTTTTTTTTTAGGCGGCACTTGGGTTTGAACTCACCTCACGCTTGCTAGGCAGGTGCTCTACCACTTGAGCCACTTCTCCAGCCCTTTTTTGTGTTGGTTTTTTTTTTTTTTTGGAGATAGGGTCTTGCAAACAATTTGCCTAGTTTTGAACCATGATCCTCCTGATCTCTGCCTCTTGAGTAGCTGGGATTACAGGCATGAGCCACCGGCACCCAGTT